ATTGTACCTTCCACATGAAAGTTTAGGCTGGTAACGATAAAAAAGACGAAGTCGGTCTCACAAGGCCTACCACGTGAATGCCAAACTCCTTAGCTGGACTGCAGACCAAGCGCCTCGCACTACAGCCAAATTGGGTGCTGCTGACCCCACGATACACCCTGGGTTGCTTGCCTCCAAGCCTTTGCTTATGCTGTTCTTTCTATCCAGAAGGGCGTCTCCCCATGTTTCTCTTGAAATCCTGAACCTTCACTGAGGCCCAGTTCAAAAGTCAACCCCTCCCTCATAGCTTCCCCCAGTTAGGTGTGACCTATGCTCTCTCTGAATGCTTTTAGGCCTTGGCTTATCTCGCCTTCCTGCCTCTCACTACCACATACTTGGCCAGCACACTCCAAGGCCAAGATTTAACCTTGCTTCTGTGTCTCCCACCTATCGAACACAGTGTAGACAAAGTGAATGTTTAAATAATAGAAGAAAGGTATTTTTTAAGACATAGCCAAGTGGGAGTTAGCTTTCTAGGGGGAGGTTGTAATGTGACTGTGACTTAGACCTCGTGAAATTTTTGAGATTTAAGAGTCCCAGTGTGAGAGTCACCCATCACACAACTCTAGATGAGGCCCTGTGCACCTCTGGGCCTGCTCTCTGTCATCTCTGAGGATGTTTTCTAGCTTGTAGTCAAATAAAATTTTGGCAGCCAAAGAGAGAAAATGGATTTAAAGAAAATCCACATTGTGGGTTTGGAAAAGAAATCACCATCATGACAGTGGCAGGACTGGGGAGGGAATTGGGTATGTTTAACCTGGTAGAGAAGACCTAGGAACGACTTGAACTCGTGAAATGCTAGAGCAGGAAGTAAACTTAGAGACTTCTGAGGCTCTGATGTCCTGCAAAGCTCTTTTTCCATTTGTAGTTCTGACTGATAGAAAAGGAAATTCTTGTTCATTCATTTTACATTCTCAACTGAGAACGACGTTATGGTTCAGAATCTCAAATTCATTTCTTTCATTTCAAATTCAAATGTGTGACTATGTCTTTAACAAAATCATAGTTTAAAAACAAGCTTTATTTGGTTTTTCAGTGTTCCTCATCCACCCACACAAATCCATCAAACAAAATCCAGATAAACTTGGGGACCACTTTATATTGGGAAACAGCCCTTTTTTGGCCTTGTTAGCCGGAGAACTTAGAGCCAAACATGTTCCTTACCAGAAGTAAATGACTCAAGCCAGGTACTTCTTTCCTTTTTTGTCCCCCTTAAACACCCAGAAGAGTGCCTGAGCATATTAGATACTCAAAAATACTTGTTTAATTAATGAATATCCTTAAGCATTCTTAAGGATATTATATCATCTTCTAAGAATATTAATTTTGATGAGTAGTCAATGATATGGGAAATATTAATGATATAATTTCAAGTGACAACTAAGGTTGCCAAATTGTACATATACACCATGTCTCCATCTCAGTGAAATCTGTTTTCTGTGTACTTATTACACAATGTTATATAGTATCCCAACAATATGAAGAACTGTTCTGAGTTATATTAAATGTGATTTTTCTGGTTTTAGACTTCACGTTTTTCAAATAATCCATAATGAGCTTATATTAATTTAATTTTTAATGAAATTTAATGCATAGGAATAGTATAAAATTTCAAATACTAGAGTAACATATGCCAAAAAAATTAATCCTTTTCCTATTCTCCTCTTTTCTGGCTCTACAAAGGAAACTGCTTTCAAATATTTTGGCTGTAATAGAAAGAAACAGTGAATCTGGAGCACCTGGGTGGCTCAGTCAGTTAAGCGTCTGCCTTTGGCTTGGGTCATGATCCCAGGGTCCTGGGATGGAGCCCTTCATTGGGCTCCCTGCTCGGCGGGAAGCTTCCTTCTCCCTCTCCCTCTCCCCTGGCTTGTGTTCCCTCTCTCACTGTGTCTCTCTGTCAAATAAAGATTTTTAAAAAGAAAAAAGTAAATCTAAATAGACCTCTGGGTTAGACAAACTACAAAATAATAGGGACGTAGAAAAATAATCAGATAAAAAATAAAGTATTTGGGGCGCCTGGGTGGCTCAGTGGGTTAAAGCCTCTGCCTTCGGCTCGGGTCATGATCCCGGGGTCCTGGGATCGAGCCCCGCATCGGGCTCTCTGCTGAGCAGGGAGCCTGCTTCCCCCCCGCCTCTCTGCCTGCCTCTCGGCCTACTTGTGATCTCTGTCAAATAAATAAAATCTTAAAATAAATAAATAAATAAATAAATAAAATAAAGTATTTCTGGCAGGAAAGAAGCCATAGAAAAACCTTATGGGAAAGGAAGGGTAGTCATCTATGGACAGTGCTTATATAATAATGTAAAATTAAATATCGTTTATCCCCCCAAAATGTGATATAACTAAATTGGGAGGACAGGGGCAAAAGGATAGGTGAGTGCTATTGAAAACCAATATCTTGGAGCACCTGGGTGGGTCAGTGGATTAAGCATCTGCCTTCGGCTCAGGTCATGATCTCGGGGTCCTGGGATCAAGTCCCGCATCGGGCTCCCTGCTCGGTGGAGAGTCTGTTTCCCCTTCTCCCTCTGTGATCTCTCTCACTCTCTCTCTCAAATAAATAAAGAAAAGAAAAAGAAATAAAGAAAACCAGTATCTAATGTCTAAAATGTAAAAATAAAAAGTAATCAACAAATAGCAAGAAGAAGCAGTGATTTCAAAATGTGTTAGAAAAGAAAAACAGCACAAAAATTTGAAAGCAGTTTGTTTTTATGTTGACTTGTATTTTTGAAAGAAAAGTTGTAAAAGGTCCCTGTGCCTGTGGGTAAAGGCAAGGCAGACGGCGCCGCTGCCGGTGTGTGGTGTTGGCTGCCGACTTCCCAGTGACTGCAACCCACACTCACCTCATCCTTACTTAGTTCATGGCACATGTGTCTTAGTACAGTAAGGGATATGAAATTCCTCTTGGAAGTGACCTAGCATGTTAGTTTCATTTCAATCTCAGATGTTTAAAAAATGACCAATAATTGGCTTCCTGACATCCAGAAGACGTGTTTATATCAACTTGATCATATGTGCTACAGCTTCTTACTGCTGTTGGCAAAGGTCAGACATGTTTCTGTGAAGTGCTAGAATCTGTCCCTGGATTATCACCAGTAAGCTCTCCCTTCCAGTGTTTACAGCCTCATCCTAATCTCCTAATTCATTTTCACATCTTCCTTCTTCCCTCCCCAAACTAATTTGTGCTTAATCTAAGTTCTGTTCTTTTCCTTACTACATTTGTTTTAATCTTTGAAGCCCAGAATGACATTGAGTGTTTCTCATTGTCACTTGGAATAAGGTCTTCACCGTGCACGTCTTTGTAGGAACATTCTACAGAATGCCTTCCTTGCTTTAGGAAACTCCGTTTCGAATGCGGGGCAGATGCATTCAGATGTGATCCTGTGACATGGAGCCAGGAAAAAACCTCTTAGGCAGAGTGTCTCCTTGATCTGCTGGCCCAGCCTCCCTCCTTACTGCTTCGAGTGTATAAATTGAGGGAGATAAAGGGCTTTATGTCAGAGTTTGGGTATTTGGATTTTCAAATAATTTGATACTGATTTCTTAAGACTCCTGTTTTAAGAAATTTAGAAAGTAGGTGGAAATTTCACTCTGCACACTTTTACTGCCTTCTGTATTTCATTTGGGCCTGCATGTGGGGAAATAGTGGGTTTTACTCTGCAGCTTCCAGCCCAGCCACAGACCACTGAACTGCAGGTAGAAGCCTAAATCTTGGAACTAGTTCTGGGAAATGCACTGAGCTGTGTGTACAAAGGTATTAACAGAGAATGTAAAAAAGAGAGCCTCGATGGCGAGTAGAAAAACACAAACTTCTCGCTGAAATCACCCATTCGCAGTGACTCTGAGCAGAGATCCGGTGGATGAGGACAGTAGACACTTTCATGCAGGTGAGTTTCTTCCCTGAAGCAGGGAGCTCTGGTGTGAAGTGCCAGCTTCACCAGAGCCAGAGTCAGCGATGGATCCTGAAGGATTTGAGCTTGTACTTTTGCTTTAAATTTGCCTTCGAATCCACCCCATCCCACTCCCCATGATCATCCCATTGTATATGAGGGTGGATTAATGTTCCTAAGGCTCTTTTGATGTGTCGCTTCCCTACTCTCAAATCTTCAGGGGCTACTGGATCAGGTATATTAAAGGCCTTCCAAAATTTGCCCCAGACCTTTATTTCCAAGCTCCTTTCCTAGGACTCGCAGCTACAGCCAAGCTGGGCCCCTCCCTCCTTTTTCTCAAGCCTGTATGTTATAGTTCCCTTCCTGCCTTTTCCCACCTTCTTTATCACTCTATTCTGCATGGCTGGTCAGAGGACCTGGCCACTGTCCTAGGTTAGGTAAGGTGTGTGATCTGGGTCCCATTACTCTTCCTCCCTGAACCTTCCTCTCCCCCCATGTAAGATGAGAGATTAAACTCAGAGCCTTCTTTAAAGCATCCTTTCAACTTTATCATTGTGTGGGTGAATGTCAGCCTTAGCTTTTTCCTTCGTTGTCCCTGCACACAGGGTCCTTTTCTCTTTTTGGTCTCTGCAGCATTTACCATTCATTGTTTGAGACTGTAGTTCATATTTTTATGCCCTGCCTTCAACTACTTTTTGAAGATATGTTTGTAAACTGAGGAAGCCCTTTGGTAGAGCTAACTTGTTTCCCTGGGATGTGGGTGTGGGGGAGGACTGTTGAGTGTTCTACTTCGGATGTCTACCTTGTACCTAGATAGAAGCTTAGAGGCATTGGGACTCATGAAAGATTTTCTCTTATTCCCCTTTTTGGGAAAGTGGGATGTTTCTTTGAGAAGAGGCACATATCTGTAACATCAAGACTGAAGGAAGGATACAGTCTCCTGGAGAATTCCCTCTGGTCTGCTCTGAGGCTTCTGACTCTTTGGGTTGGCCTTCCTCCCATCCTTTCCAGAGTGCCAGGCTCCTGGCATTTAGGGTTAGGATGATGACTTCATCTTTCCCTGTGTGTTTCAGGGCCCTGTTTGATTATGATCGAACTCGGGACAGCTGCCTGCCAAGCCAGGGGCTCAGCTTCTCTTATGGTGACATTCTGCACGTCATTAATGCGTCTGATGATGAGTGGTGGCAGGCGAGACTGGTGACCCCGCATGGAGAGAGCGAGCAAATCGGTGTGATCCCCAGTAAGAAGAGGTGAGTGGTCATGATCCTGAGGCCTTCCTTGCCCTCTTCCTGGTATTGCTTTCTTCTGTATCTATTAGACTGTAAGTTGCTTGCTTGAGAGCAATTCCTTTTCGGTGGAGTTGGTGCTGAAGACATAGTTATGACTCAGGGAGCCAAAAGGTGGCTGGTGAGACTATGCACTGGTGGTGAGTAACAGGACTCCTTTCTGACTCCAAAACAGGGTGGAAAAGAAAGAAAGAGCTCGATTGAAAACCGTGAAGTTCCATGCCAGGACGGGGATGATTGAGTCTAACAGGGTAAGTGGGGATCCCCAAGGAAGTCAGCCAATATGTGAAGAGGAGTAAGAAGCTTGGAGTCTGTCTGCTGGCTAAGAGAACTGGGGAGCACAACAGAATATCTCTTTTTCAGGGGGCTGACTCTGTCCTATCAGAACACTGGCTGCTTTTCAGAAAGCAGAGAGAGGGCACTGAAACTCTGTGTCCAGTCTGTACTCCTTCCCCCTGGGTTACTGGCTCTTGAAGATGTGTTGGAATTGGACTGTCTGGAAAGGCTGACTTGTTCCGGGTACCTGAAGCCATCTGTGGGTATCTCCCTAGCTGCAGACCCTGTCAGAGCTGTGGGGACTCTGAGCAGAACCTGGCCTTGTTACCCAGCGAGGAAGGCTGGCCTCAGAGCTCCGACCACCTCCCTTCAGACCAGTGAGGCATGAGGGCTCAGTCATTCACCCCTTTTCTTCTATGAGCTTTGCAGGCCAAAGAACTTCTGGAGCGCTAGAGGGAAGAGAGACACAGAGTAGATCACTCTGTGAGTATCAGTGGCACCTTAGGGCATGTGTCCAGGAGGCTCCAATGACCTTTGTCCTTTAGAAAGTGCCAGTGAATGCTGTGAGTCTGGATTAGGTAGAAACCTCTAACATCCCTACAACATTTTCCTGTAAACATGATTTTCCTCTTACATCAACTTTCATTTAATCTCATAGATTCCATTTGTGAGAGATGGTCTTTATTTAGCTCACCATTGTCTCCATTTTAGTTTTTCTTGCATGCTTTAAAATCCATTGTTCTGTTTTTTTTTTTCTTCTGTCCTTCCCCTCCATCTTCATGTTCTTTCACAGTCGATCAAAACGAAACGTAAAAAGAGTTTCCGCCTCTCTCGAAAGTTTCCATTTTACAAGAGCAAAGAAAACATGGCCCAGGAGAGCAGCATACAGGAACGTAAGTAGCAGCAGGGTACAGAGAGCAGACTGTCCACAGCCCTGCCCTCTCTTCCTCAGTTGCACCTCCCCTTCTGAGAAGATGGGGAAAGTGTGTGTGTGTGTGTGTGCGCGCGCGCGCGTCTGTCCATGTGTGAGTGGGTGCGTGTGTGTGTGCACGTGCGTCCTTGTTTATTTACAGAGTCAGTGTAGAGATTGGCCTGCACAGGGAGACAGCGGGTCTCTCTCATCCAGCTGCTCACTCCGAAAGAATGTTGGAGGCTCTAAGGACCAACTGGTTCCAAGGCTGGCTACCAGGGCATCCCTGGCACTGGCGTTGGGGGTGCCAGACGAAGCTCTGCTGGGGTCATCATCAGTTCTCAGCCCCAGTAGCAGTTTTAGAAGAATGGTTTTTCAAGACAACCAGGTCTAGGGACTCAGTGTTGCTCTCCTGGCTTCTTCCTCCTGTGTTTTCTTTCCCTTAACTTTACTCATCTGTGTTAAGAGAAGAGCCTTTTCTTCCCTGGACACCTAGAGTCGGACCTGCTTCCTGAATTACATGCATGTGCATAGGCACCCAGGATGTCCTCCCGGCTCCAGCAGACTCACTGTCATCCCAGATACAGAGCCAGCCTTCAAAATAAAATCCTTTCTGCCTAAAGGAATTGATGTGGAAGGGGGATTACTCAACATTGTCTAAAGAAAGATTTATTGCAAAACAGCAAATGGTAGGAAAGGCCATAAGCTGACTTTTCAGAACCAATGTTGTGGATCCTGAGAAATGTTCGTATTTTACCATATGCCTCAGAAATTAACTGTTCTGGCCCTTACCTTAAACACCAGGTCAAGTTGGTGCGACACTTCTCATATATTAATCATCCTGCTGAATTGTAAGCCTTTCCTCTGCCGCCTTGTAAGGAGGGGCCTTGGGGTCTTAGGCTGTTGGGACTGGCGGGGGACTTTGTCTAGGCGAGCCTGATGTATGGTCATGGTCTACGTAGGTCATCACTATCTAGAGTGGTAGCTAGTCGATCCAAGGGTGCCTTCATGCAGATGGGGGTGATGGGCCATAATCCTGGGTAGCTCAGTAGAAGCACAAGCTGCTGTGGGTTCTGCTTGTGAGCAGTGGGAGACGGTCTGAAGGGAGGTCAGCGCAGTTCACCAGGTCAGCCTCCAAACCTCTGTGCTCTATCTAGCCTGGGGAGGGTTTGCCGTTGGGCGGCCCAGCTGAGGGACAGGGGCTGCCTGTTGGGTGAGAGTTGAAACCACCTAGTGCTTATTCTTCAGAAGGTGAGCTCATGCCCTGTGGTCTGCCCAACCCAGGCCAGCTTTGAAGGCCATACCTAACACTGCACGAAGCTTTCCCTGAAGGCTCTGGACAGAGTGAGTCACTATTAGGCAAAAGCTCCTTGGGATGATGATAATTCTGCCTGGTCTTTGGTGCACCCTCCAAGGGAAATGGCGATTACATGGACAGAGCAGAGACCTGGGCTTTGTAAGTACAAATTCAGCCAAAGCAGGTACTCTGAGCCTTGGAACAGATGGAACAGTCTACCTGTTCTGTCCTGTTGGGCTGTAGACTGTAGACCACCTCAGAAATGTAGTCTGCTCCAAGGCCCTATGGCAGCAAGTTTGGCAGTATGAAGTACCCGTATCTTATCTGTTCTGGGGTGTTCTTTCTATAGCAAAATTCTTAACCTCACTATAATTATAGGTCTTCATAGTATTTCATACTTCTGTCACTAATGCTTACCTGGCTCTGTATTCTTCCTTCCCCTTGTCTTTTTTCTCTATTTCCTCTTTTGTCCCAATTCTTTTCCTCCCTCCCTCCCTCCCTCCCTCCCTCCCTCCCTCTTTCCCTCTCTCTTTGTCCTTGCTGTCTGTGAAATCAGGACTTCCCTGGGTTAAGTGACGATTATTATGGAGCAAAGAACCTGAGTAAGTCAAACTTACACACCACTAACTATATTTCTGGCATGAGTGGACATGCTGGGGTTGGGGGTGTAGGGAACGTGGGTGAGGGCAAAGGGTGAGGGGAGGACAATGTTGTCAGCACTCTGACACCATAGCAGGAGAAGGAATAAGTGGCTCTGAATGTCACACTTTTGTCTGGATCCCTGGTACCCTAATAAAAGCCTATCATTCACGTCTGTGTTTTCCTTTTGTACCTTGAAGGGGTGGGGAGCCATCTTGGCCCCCCACCTTAGAAATGAGGTGGGCAAGAAGTACTTCTCCAGGGGTGACCACTCAGCTCATCTCTAGCCTATTGTTGAGGTGAGGGGTACTGGTTGGCTGCTTCTCCTAGTGACACAGCACTAAAGAACTGGGCTTAAGAATGAGCTGTTTTGGTCTCTCTAACTAGGGACAAGAGTACTGTGAAGCCCTTTACCCATCACGCATCTGGGACATCCCAGCAGGCCCACGGGCCTCAGGAAACAGCTGTGGGCTGGCTTTCCATGGAGCATCTCTAAGGCGCCGAGCTGGTGGGGGGTCTCAGCGGCACCTATGGACTATATGTACATATATATCTAGTGCCTTAGCTCAGGCAAACTCTGACCTGTCCTCTCTAGAAAATAATTCTAGAGTGGAAAATGAAGGGGCCAAGAGGACGGCACCTTAGCAGCCCCTCTGCATGGAGGGGCATGTATACGTGGCTGTGCCGGGCAGGTTCTGTGAGCATATACTCTCCTTCAATAAATAATAAAGGCATAAAGGGAAAGGAGCTTCCTCAGGGGATTGTTCAGGAACTCGCCTGGGATGGCGACTCATCCAGTCCTTCCTACGGGGCCACAGCATATCACAGTCTGGAACAGTGTCATCTTGGCTGAAACAAGCAGTGTCTCTGTCCATTGTTTGTTGTGTTCATGTTTCATTTTCATTTGCCTGTCCTCTTGGGAGCAGTGGCCTTTTTTTGGGCCATATTGCACCTTGTGTCTCCTTTGAGCATGGTGGCCATGCCCACACTCAGATGCGGAGTGTCCCAGCGGTCTGAGACTGGACGATTGTCTTGGCCTCCCAGCATTCCGTGTTTCTGGTCTCTGTGGTCTCTGATTGTGGATGAAGGTGCATCCTCTCTCACCACTGAGGCCAAGCTAGGAAGGAGGAGGAGGAGGCTAGATGATAGTGGTGGCAGGAGGGCTGTTGGTCCCACCAAACGGTCAGAGCCTCAGTCCCCGGTGACAGCTCAGCCTCCCTGTGCTTAGCCTCTTAGTTCTGGAGCACCACACAACTCTGTCCTTCAGGGGCTCTGTCTGGGGGAGGGGACTTCTCTTTGCTGCTGTTGCTGCCTTTCCTTTCCTGTCATTAGCCTTGGGAGATGCATTTTGAGATAGGATTTGGAAACACTCCAGGTCAGTTCTTTTGATTCAGATGAAGAGGATGCTGCTGAAGAATGGAAGGCTTGTAGTGTATCGGGAGGGACTTGGCGGACCGAGAGGGCTCTGGGGACAAGTATGACGTGGCCAGGGGCTCAGGATTGGCGCTCTGCCTCCCAGTTGGTAGCCCGGATGTGGCAGGCCTCCTGTGGCCTGGCTTGCTTGGCAGTTCAGTGTCTTGCCTCCTGGAGGATTTGAGTTTTGTGCCGCGTGTGACCTCTCAGTGGTGTGTTCTGAATCAGAGTCTTTTTCTTGTTGGCTTGCAGAGGGAGTGACATCCAACACCAGTGACAGCGAAAGCAGTTCCAGTAAGTGTGTGTCATTCTCCCCCATGTTGTGTAGCTCTACCATGTGTCCCAGCCATCCTCATTCCAGCATTGCATGGCTGCCATTTCTGTTCAGAGGCTAGTGCTTCGTTTAGCCACGTACACTTTGAGATCCTGGAAATGCTGTGGCCACTCTGTCCTGATGGGGTGGGATTTAGGCCATGAATTAAAGGAGAGTATAAGGCCTGCACTTCTGGCCAGGACCCGACCTAAAGCCGTCCCAGGGGCCCTGGGAAGGGTGAGGTGCCAGTGAGTAAATCCCTGCCGTGGGGCCTCCTGGGCTATAAACGCTGCCAGTTTTATAGATTTGCTTAGAGACCAAAAGACAAATGGCTCCTGTGGGATGTTGTCCTGAGTTGCCTTTGCGGGTCTCTAGGACCTCCCGGGTCAAGGCTCGGTGTCTTTGTCCTTTTGCTGGGTTAAGCAACCTGGTAGCTGCCCAGTTTTCCTTCTGAGATCCCGTGACCAAGCCAGAGAAGCCACAGGTGGAACCCCACGAACTTTGGGACCAGTGGCCTCTCAGGAGCTGTGGCTAGAGGTCTTGTACAGTCTGCCCACGAGTCTTAGGCTCAGAGGAAGCCTGTGAACGAGGATCCTGGGGCTTGATGCAAATATTGCTGCCTTTCCCTGCACTGCCATCAGCCCTGTGGCACCCAGACACCCAGAACCAAGTGGCTTGGTGACTATTTTAGGAAAAGTTCATCATCACTAGGGTGTATGGAGTTCTACCATAAGGAGAAAGCGGGGCTTGGCATTGCTCTTTGAGGGGCCTCGGGACCTTAGCCCAGCCTTGAGCCACTGATCTGGGTATTTCATCAGTGCAAGGGGGATAGACAGACCCTTAAAAGAGCAAAGTTAGCCTTCATTAGTGCCCTGATTCCCCTGCCTGCAGATTAGGGGACATGGGCAGCATTTATCATCCAGTTGAAGCCTCCCTGTGGTTCTTACCAGAACAAGAGCGTAATTGAGCACAGTTGACTACTGACTACAAGAACAGTTCTTGAGAAATGGGGGTGGTTTTCGGTGGAGGCTTCATGGCTTCTGGGTCACGTCCCTTTGGTCAGCTATGTTTTGCTGAATGAGAGGACTCCTGACTCCCATCCCAGGGATGGTGAAGGGCTTCCTGTGCTCTCTTGCTGATGGGTAGCAGACAGGCCCACAAGGCATGTGGTAGCAAGTACCACCTGACAAAGCTGTTTTCTGGCAGAGGTGGGGGTGAGGTGAATGCTGTAGGGGGTCCAGGACGCAGGGAAGCCAATTACAAAGTGCTAACGTGTCTCCCTTTTTTGTTGCAGAAGGACAAGAGGATGCGATTTTGTCCTATGAGCCAGTGACACGGCAAGAAAGTAAGTCCCCTTCTGAGAGTCTTGCCTTGGAGCTGGTTTCGTGACCACAGGGCCCAGTGCAGTGGTGGGCTGTGTCAGCACAGGGAAGGGCACTCGGGAGCAGGAGGGCGGGGCTCGCCTCATGTGCGGACCCCCGGCAGCTCCTTCTTGCCCATGTCTTCCTTGTGTTATAGAAAAGGGGAAAGGAAACCCAGTGTGTACCCCTCACCATACCTTTTTTCTGCCAGGGTGCCTCCCAGAGCAGAGGACGGGTTGACAAAGAGGGCAAAGGGTCCGTCTCAGCGGGTGTGACTGTTGCCAAAAGAAAGGTCCCAGTCCCTCCCTGTAGTGGGTTCTCAGGAAAAAACCTTGCTTAGCTGCTGGTGCCCGTACAGAGATTGCTCCTGAATCTGTTGGAAGGGGAGATGCTTCTGATTTCAGACTTGCCTTGGACTGAGATATTTTCAAATTAAAGGCTCTTTGATGTCTTTGTAGTTAAAAGCCAGGGACTAGCCACGGACACTCTGCCCTGTCTGAGTGGCGGCTCCAGAGCCTCGGTGTTCTAGGCAGGCGTGGAGATGGAAGAGGCCGTCAGGTGGGAGGCCTTGCTCATGACCTCCATGCTCTCTTTCTCCAGTTCACTATGCAAGGCCTGTGATCATCCTGGGCCCGATGAAGGACAGAGTCAACGATGACCTGATCTCGGAGTTCCCGCATAAATTTGGCTCCTGTGTACCACGTAAGAGCCCCAGTTTTGGAAGGGAGGTGTGAGTGCGCCGGGAATGATTACTCGGATGTTTATGGAAAGGCTCTGGGGCCAGGTGCTCGGATTCTCTGGGAACAGGGTCTGCTGCTCTGGAAGATTTTCCCACAAGGCTGGTGGGGCTGGGAGGCCTAAGCCATGAGGCTGGCCTGCTTCCTCCCTTGGAGAGAAGTTTTGAGTAGTGATGGTCAGGAAGGATTGGGCGAATGGGGTGCCTGGTCCAAGTGGCGTTGGCATGGCCCCATGGACAGCTTGTTACGTTCGCTGGCTCCCATGCCTCATTTGGCATCTTCTGCCAGCTTTTGACCCAGGAAACCGTACCTTTCTGGTTGAGTTTAAACTAAAGCAAATAGCTCCCTGTGTGTGAGCCCTGCTGGTTACAAGAGAAGTAGGCAAGACACGCTTCTTTCCAGCTACTCTCCCCCCGCCCATCTGCCCACTCACTTGGAAAATATTGGAGTGGCCCTGAGGCCCACATGAGAGAGGAACGGGTCATCTCTTTTGGCCTGGAGCAGGTCATTGTCCTTGGGCCACAGAGCATTTCTTTTCTTCCTCCAGATACCACTCGGCCTCGGCGTGATAATGAGGTGGATGGACAAGACTACCACTTTGTGGTCTCCCGAGAACAGATGGAGAAGGATATTCAGGACAACAAGTTCATTGAAGCAGGCCAATTTAACGATAATCTCTATGGGACCAGCATCCAGTCAGTGCGGGCAGTTGCAGAGAGGGTAAGAAGAGAAGAGATGGCCTTGCTAAATATAACCCTCAAAGGAAAAACTGAAATGTTCCCGCTCGCATTCCGTTAGGGTTCGGCTCCTTCCCGCACGGGGCCCACAACCACGCAGCACACTGGCTCTGCGTGTTCTCAGCCCCTGGATGGAGATAGCTGTATCTCCTTCATGCAGCTCTCCCCAGCGTATCACCGATGTGACTGGTGACCCCTCTGCAGATAGGCCTAGCCAGAAAAGGCCTAGGCGGAGCAAAATGTGGGGCCTGGGTGCCTCAGTGGTAGAATCTTCTAGGCCTCTCTGGGTGGCCCTGGGTGCCCGCCCCCGCCAGGCAGATGTTTGTGTTGCCACTGGGTAAGTGCTTGGGGCTGGGTAGACAGGGACCGGGTGGGCTGATAACAAGTCTTTGCCTTTTCAGGGCAAGCACTGCATCTTAGATGTTTCCGGCAATGCTATCAAGAGGCTGCAGCAAGCACAACTTTACCCCATTGCCATTTTCATCAAGCCCAAGTCCATTGAAGCACTTATGTGAGTATTTGCGAGTTTCAGACTCTCCCAGCTAGGAGAGGGCCCTGGAAAGGAACAAGAAAATAAACTGATTTGTTGGGCAGGGGTAGGACGCCATGGAAGCTCTAAGGCAGGTCTGCATCCACTCTGAGGGCTCCTTCTGATGTGAGTGCCCGAACCTGTATTCCGGTCGTGCTTTTAAATCTGCCAGGTTTGGGGAAGATGTTGAGCCGTGGGCCACTGCTGCTCTCAGAGGGCAGCTGAGCGGATTTTCAGGGAGCCTGGGAGCAGTCCTTTGTGGTAATCAAAACGTAGCATCCAGAGGCTGCCTGGGTGGCTCCATCGGTTGAGCGTCCTACGCTTGGTTTCAGCTCAGGTTGCGGTCCCAGGGTCATGAGATCGAGGCCCACTTCGAGCCCAACCTCGAGCCCCACTTCGGGTTCCGTGCTTAGCGGGGAGTCTGCTGGAGAGTCTCTGTCTGGCCTTCCCCCTGCCTTTGTGCTCTCTAAAATAGATCAATAAATCTTTAGAACAAAAGATTCTCTCTCCCTCTTCCCCTGGCCCCTCCCACCCCCAGTTTGTGCACTGTCTCTCAAAAACAAAACAAATGCACACATAGAATCCAATTTGATACCATTTTTCTTCTCTGTCTTTGTCAGGGAGATGAACCGACGGCAGACATACGAACAAGCAAATAAGATCTTTGATAAAGCCATGAAACTGGAGCAGGAGTTTGGAGAATACTTCACAGGTAAGAAGCCCTGCTGCCTGGCTCCGGTAACACAGGAACAGCCTGACACCTGTAAGTGTCTCCAAAAGGCTTAGGTACCTGGCACCGTCCAGAGTGTCTGGATGCTTTGCAGGTCAGGCCTTTGCAAAACACTCAAGTTCCTTCCATCCAGCTAGAGGAGTTTAGCCAGTTTGTAGTCTCAACCACACCACCAGCTGCTTCCGTGGATCATTTTGTTCATCTTGTCTTCAGGTCCCTACCAGATCAGAGGCTCCCTGTGTTACTTTGCTTCTCTCCCTCCCAACTCCTCCCCACAGTGTAGTCCTCGGTTTTGCGTGTTTTAGGTGCCAAATCTATGGTGGTTGATGATGATGATTCTTCGGGGGGATGTTCAAGTTATCTGTCAGTGTGTGTGTGTGTGCGTATGGCCATCTGTTTGAGGTCCGTTCCTAAAAGGTTGTTACGGTTTCTCTGTAATATGTTGATTACCTTTTTTTTCTCTTATTTTTTTAAAAGATTTTATTTATTTATTTGAGAGAGAGAGAGTGAGAAAGAGAGAGATTGCAAGAACAAGTTGGGGAGGGGCACAGGGAGAAGCAGACTCCCTGCAGAGCAGGGATCCGACATAGGACTCAATCCCAGGACCCTGGGATCATGACCTGAGCTGAAGGCAGATGCTTAACCCACTGAGCCACCCAGGCGCCCTGCAATATGTTGCTTGCCTTTACAATCACAGGGAGAGAGATGGGGGGTGGGGCTGGACAGGGGATGGGCATGAGGGGGGCACTTGTTGGGATGAGCACTGGTTGTTTTATGTAAGTGATGAATCACTCAGTTCTACTCCTGAAACCAATATCCCCTTACAGGTTAACTAACTAGAGTTTAAAGAAAAAAAACGGAAAAAAAAAAAAGATAAAGCACAGTGACATTTCTGTGCAGGTTGCAGGTAAAGCAGGGAGAGGGTGCAGAGCCGTGCTCTCAGACCTTGGGTTTTGGAGCTCCCTTTACTGTTACGTCTCTGTCCTAGTTTTCCTGACCAACCTCTGACATAGAGTGGATGCGATGGCCCCAGGAGCTCTGCCTCTCGCTAGAAACTGTTTCTTTCGGTTCTTTCTTCGGATAACTGGGATTTTCCAAATCTTCTACCGAGCCTGTTTACAATGACCAGCTGTTGACCTCACGGCTGCCAAGAGCGACATGAGCCGTGAGGTCTGAAATCTAATGGGTGCTCAGTAAACATTTTCTGAACAATCCGTTTTCTCGTTCGTTGCCACTTAGTCTTACTGTCTCGGCAAGATGACACTGAGCCCTGGGCTTAGAGCACCTGCCGTCTTCCGTCGTGGCCCTAGGCCGTGCGGGGTCTCTGCCAGGTGGAGCTGGGGCTGGGGGCTGCCAGGGCAGGCTAGACTGCCGGGTTGACGGTGCTGTGGAGCACAGTAAGAATTCTCTTTTCCCCTCTACTTTAGCCATTGTACAGGGTGACTCACTGGAAGAGATTTATAACAAGATCAAACAAATCATCGAGGACCAGTCTGGGCACTACATTTGGGTCCCATCCCCTGAGAAACTCTGAAGAATCCCCACCAAGCACTCTCTTGTGAACAGAAGACATCAAGTCCCTCTTCCCTCCTCCCTCTTCATTCCTGTCCCCACCAGGAGAACAAATGACTACTGTTCTTGTCCCCTTTTTTAGATATGTCCCCAAAATTGAGTTTTCTAGTCCTGTTTTGTTTTTTTAAATTTTCATTTGGTTTTAGTTTATTTTGGGGGATGATGCCATCTCACTCATCACGTGACTCTGCCCATTCCTGCATGGACCTTTCCCAAGCGCTAGCACAGGAGCAAATCCATCAGAGTCATTGTTTTCATAAAAACCAAGCAGAAGCGAAGAGACGAGAGGAGGACTGCTGGAAAGCCAGGCTCCGGACAGCTGCACGGCTTGTGAAGCAAGCTCCGTGTGCCGCGTGCCGAGAGGCTCCCGGGCATTTCTGCCTCTCCCGCTGCTTTCACGCAGCGCTGAACGGTGCAACGTATGGCGACAGAAAGTATCTTATTTATATATAGATATATATATGTAATTTATATAAAATATATAGAAATTATTATATATATATATTATACACTCTCATATAATATATATATATTCACACACATTTGGACTAGAAAATCTATGGAGACTTCATCAATGGTACTGTGTTATTAGAGAAATGCTTTAATTTTCATATTCCAATCAGATGGCATCTTCTATCCCAACTGGTTGGGGAGGGATTGAAAGTGGTAGTAATTACTGTACCAAGGGCACTTGTTTCTGGTCATTCTCTCGAAAGCTGAGGTTTTCTCTAGGATGGGTCAGCCGGTGGGCCTCGGCTCTGGGGGGTGAGAAGGTGGGAGAAGGGACCCTGAGGCAGCTGCCGCCTGCCGCCCGGGAGGCACAGTCGGTCCAGGGGGACGGAAAGCGAGAGAATGGCCAACAGTGCTCCCGATGACATTGCCTATTGTTTCCTGCCACCTGATGTGTCTGCATGAGAGGTTTCCTTTTTGTTCATTTTTAAGCTGCTGTTAAACCAAAACCATGTTGTGCTACCGTGTCAGCCTTTTCATTATTCCAAATTTTACTTTTACTATTTAAGTGAATGCGTAGACTCCAATTTGACAAGGGTTTGAAAGGCTCATGACATTGTGGAGGAGCCGGGCCTTGTGACCGTGGGTACGCCCGGTGCCGCCAGCCTTTCCGCGGAGGGGAGGCAGGGGCCCTCACTCGCAGCCCGGGATGTGCCCGCTTCCCCTGAGGCCCCTCTGTGGGGCCCCACCAACGGGGACAGGGAGTCCCTTGCCAGCTCGGTGCTGGGACGGTGGGAGTGCCGTGGGCCTGGCCAGCCATGTGATGAGAAGTTGGATTTGGGTTTTTTCTGCAGCTGCTCTATACGCCCTCCCCCAGCGCCCACACCAACAGCTGGTAGCTTACTGTGGCTTCGAGAAGGGAGTAGACTCAGGCCGTCCGCGTCACCTGCAGAGCTAAGAGTCCCTTGCTGGTGAGACCAGTTGGTTTTTCTCTGACCAGGAGCGTGGGGGGGGTGTGGGTGTGGCTCAGGCCCCACCCCCACCAGGCTCTTTTGCGGCCCCCCCACGCCTCCCTTGCCCCACGCTGGGCACGACACAGGAGAAGAGCGTGGATATGCCTGGCCCTGGGCTTGAGTCCACGGTTTCCCAGCCCGCGGCGTTGTGACTGGTGTGAACGATGCCACGTCCAAGACGCTCAGAGTGCTACCAGCCAAACTTAGGAAATCTGTTAGCAGTTCTCCTACTAGCACAATGAGGCTAACTATACAGCGTGGGGCCCAGAATGAGGGGAAAGAAAGGGCAGCAGCTTTACCTGGGCAGTACACTGGATTGAAGGCAAAGAGGGATGATGTGATGGCCAATCGCGACTCTGGTGAGGAGGGGGTGAGTGGGGGGTGTCATTTCTCAGATGTTAAGTGATGTACTCTGAGTGATGCTCAACCCGCTGCCCCTCCGAGGGAAGGAGATCGAGATTCAAAGTAAGCATGACACTAGTTGGTTTACCAGTGTTCCTTCCAAGGAGACATATATTTTTTAATAAACGATAGTTGCAATGAACTGTGTGTGGCTCAGAGACCTTCTTCATGGGGTCGAGAAGGGAGGTGGGCGCAGAGCCGTGGGAAGGTCTCCAACCTTGGAGGTCCAAAAGACTCTGCTCAGGGTCGCCTGGGTGGCTCAGTTGGTGAAATATCCGACTGTTGATTTCGGCTCAGGTCGTGATCTCACGGTCACGAGGTCGGGTCCTGCGTTGGGCTCCACGGTCAGCACAGTCTGCTTGTCCCTTTGCCCCTCTGCTTCTTCCCCCTCTCCTCACCCATCCACTTGCCCTCACCCACGTGCTTTCTCAAAAATAAGTAAAATCTTCACAAGACTCTACTTGGTGACCATCCACAGACTGAGTCAGGTGTTCTGAATGCTTCCAGACCACTGTGGTTGTGCTGGGTCCTTCGTGAAAGCTATATGCTTGGGCTTCCACTGCGGCCCACAAACACTGCCTCACAGCACCAACCGGGTGTGAGGCGTGTCCATGTTCTCCGTGGCAAAATGCTGACATTTCCCCAAAAGGTACACAAGATGGGAGACACCTGCCACGGCAAAGATGTTTGTTGAGAAGAAAGCAGGGGCCAAGCTAGCAGCGGGGCCCTGAGTGACAAATACAGCAAGAAAAAGCTGGCCTACTGGCTCCCAGCATTTCTAGAAACCATTGAGAGCTCAGGGGAAAACGAGGGTGGAGATGGGCCCAGGGTAGGACCCAGCTGGCAGAGCGGGTGGCAGGCCCCCTGAAGAGAGGAGCTCCAGAGCAGGCACGCGCAACCTGGCTGACGGCACGGCAACTTCTGCGGAAAAAAGCCCGGTGAGCCACGTCTGTGACTGCGGTCAAGAGCGACCATTCGTCAGAAGCCGTGACGTATGCGGCCAAGCCACAGGAGGGAGAAGACTCCTCTCCAGTTTGTGGCACTTTACAGTTCGCAGGGCGCTTCCTTTGACATGTTCTCTCATTTGCAAGAAGGCAGCCCAACAAAAAGGAGTCCCCAATATGCTCCTTGAGGGCTTAAGGGACTCCAGCAGCCAAGTGCAGAGGGAACAAAGAGCCAGGCCTGTCACCCCACCCTGTTGAGGCTCAGTCTGTCGACAGCTGCTCTTCCTCCTAGGGGAGGCTCAGCTGAAGAAAATTCGGCCCCAGGGGGGAGACACTGAGCAGCTCAGAAACACCCAAGGTAGACTCGCCGCCCCCTCCGCCAAGCTCTGCTCTGACCAGATGGCTAGAGCCCCATCTCCCCCGGGAGTCAGTGCCGGGATCTCTCCCCGGTTCTGCTGCTGCTGACAACCCAGCAAGCCCTGTCTGACTTTCTCCATCTCTGACAAGCCTTACTTGAAACCCTTCCTTGGGCAATACTGACGACAACAAAAAAGATTCGTCCAGGGGTGCCCAGGTGGCTCAGTCATTAAGCGTCTGCCTTCAGCTCAGGGCATGGTCCTGGGGTCCTGGGACCGAGCCCCGCATCGGGCTCCCTGCTGGGGAGCCTGCTTCTCCCTCTCCCGCTCCCCCTGCTTGTGTTCCCTCTCACTGTGTCTGTCCCTGTCAGATAAATAAAATCTTAAAAAAAAAAAAGATTTGTCCAGATACAAATGCCCAACCTTCTCTTGAGGCAAAAGAGCCACTAGAAATGACCTAAATGAAGCCAAAAGCTTTCGTACAAAACGTGGGGAAGTCATGCTCTGGGACGAAGCTGATAGGGATGCAGAGGGAAGTGGGGAGCCGGACAGCAGGACTGGGGAGAGCCCGGAGATCAGGGGTCAAGCAAGAAAGGATGGGACTGAAGGGACACCGGGTTCAAGCAGAAATGCCATGGAGCTGTTTCCACAGGGACAGCACTTGCCTGGTGCCACCCCCTGAAAGCCCAAGGTGTGAGAAACCCTTGTAGAAACGAGATGAGTGGGTCCAAAACGAGGGTCGAAGCTGGGGAGAAGCGCACCAAGCTCTCTGGGCCCTGGCAGGAGCCATCCAGTGTCAGCATTCACAAACTCTGCTGTTCAGGCCCATTCCCACCCAGTATTTCATGGCCTCAGTCCCATTAATCCTTTGACCCTGTCTGCCCTGGCCCCTCTAGGACATTCTGTTGCCGTACAGGTAACTTCCCGAAGGTCAAATTGCACACGTGGAAAGGCCTCTCCCCCATCACTTTACAAGGAAGAGCCGCACTGAGGCTCCTGCACGCTCGGTTCCTCCCCAGCGAAGCCCCGACTGCACCCTCCCTGTGGAGCTGAGCCCACGGTCACGGTGTGATACCCACGGGCGAACAAATGAACTCTCGGGTCCTGTCCCTGCCCCTGCGCGGGCACGCTGACTGGAAGCGCCCGGTGTCCTTTGAAGGACCAGGAAGTGGGTGGCCTGAGAACAAGGATTCGGACCCGCCTACTTGCTGTGAAGGGCAGGTGCCAGAGGATGTTGTCCTGACGGGCCTTGCCGTCCCCACAGTCGTCCTCCACGGAGCCCACTGAACCGGCCACTGATGCTCTCCACCTCCCATGGGGCCCTGCTACCCACAGAGAAAAGTCCAAGCCCCTTAGCACGGCCCTTCTGCCACCAGGCCCCGGCCCTTCTCCCCTGCCTCACCGTTCCCCACATCCCTCTGCTCCAGCCCTGAACACCAGTCTCACACTTCTTTTTCTGCCCATCGCTGCCTCCCTGTCTTGCTTGCCCAGAAGACTCCTCTTAATATTTTTAAGACTCAGTTCAAGAGTTCCCCTCCTAGGGCGCCTGGGTGGCTCAGTCAGTGAAGCATCTGCCTTCGGCTCAGGTCGTGATCCCTGGGTCCTGGGGTCGAGTCCTGCCTCCGCTCCCTGCTGGGCAGGAAGCCTGCTTCTCCCTCCTCCACTCCCCCTCCTTGTGTTCTCTCTCTCTCCGTCTTTCTCTCTCAGAGATAGATAGATAGATAGATAGATAGATGGAGGATGATAGATAGATAGATAGATGATAGGGAGTTCCTCTCCTATGCTGCCTTTCAGGAAACACCTCCTTTTCCCTCCCACCCTTTAGGTCAACTTGAGTGTCCCTTCCTTGGTGCTGGGAGACCCTGTACCAGACCTTTCGTCTTCGTAACAGCTGACCTTCATTTTGTACTTCCTTCACTTAGTGCCCCCCAAACTGCCCTATGATGCGCATGTTCTCTCCTCTTCCAGAAGAGGAAACAGAGGCCCAAGGAGGCCACACAGCTGGGAACCCGTAGGACTGAGTCAAGCACGGGCTGTCCAGCTACAGCAGCTTTGCCTCCTCGCACTCTGCCGCACTTGGGACATTTTACTGCACTTATCTCTTTTTGTCTTCCTGTCCTTAACTCCTCTGTGAAGGCAACAAACTGTGACTTAGTCACATGCATTCCCACAGCTCACAGCACAACACCCATTGTGTAGCAGGTACGCAGCGAAAGGCACAAGGAACGCACCGGTCTTTGGCTCTGCCTCGGAGGGAAGAGACTTGACCAGGCCCAAACCTGTGGTGAGTATGAATTTTCTTTCTCCAACCTCTTACCAAAATGCGCTGATTCTTTACCGTATTCGTTCAGTTTGGTCCTTTGTTTTCATCACTACCCCTACTCTCTCAATAGCCAGAGACACAACCTGGTGAGCACCCAGTGACAGGTGCCCTGCATGATGCTAAAAATACAATGACAAGTCAAAGAAGATAGTCCCTGCTCTCAAGGACCTTTTAGTATAGTTGGGGGAGGGCAACACACAAGTCAGTGACTTAAGCATATAATTACACATCACACTAAATGTCACGAAGGCCATACATGGGATGCAGCAACAGATGATGTAATGAGAGGACCCGCTTAAGAGAAGGTGCCCCAGGAAGACTTCCTGGAGGAGGTGACGTTCAGGTTGAGACTTTTAAGATCAGTAGGATCAAAGCGGTGGAGGAGCAGGTGTGGGATGTGGTAGAAGGAAGGATTTACCACCCTCCACTGGCCCTAATCTGCTCAGCCTGAAGTTTCTCTACCAACCAGCCTAGAATAGTAGCCTTTTTACCAGTGAGTTGGGCTTTTTGTCTGGAGTGTGCCCAGTCCC